ACCTCCTCTACCTCCACCACCACCTCCTCTACCTCCAACTACCTCCACCACCACCTCCTCTACTCCACCACCACCCCTTACCTCCACCACCACCTCCTCTACCTCCCCACCACCACTCCTCTACACTCACCACCACCTCCTCTACCTCCACCACACCTCCTCCTACCTCCACCACCACCTCCTCTACCTCCACCACCTCGTCCTCTACCTTCCACCACAACACCAACCTCCACCACACCACCACCAACCATGAATATAGCTTCTCATAACATAAGATATTTTTTATTCTGTTTGTTTTAAGATCTTGTGTAAGCATGTGAAAGATAACAAATGTTTTGAAAAGAAACTGATTTGTTTTTGATATTCTGTGAGAATAATGGCTACATATGCATGCTTATGACTTAACCTGAAATTATGAATATTTGCATCTTTAGAGAGTGAGTGAGTGAGTGATGAAGGAAGGGAGGGAATGAGTGAGTGAGTGTGAGTGAGTGTGAATGAGTACTTGTCCTCCCCTCACCCAGGATTTTTATATATATATTTTTTTTATAAATATAGCTTCTCATAACATGAAATATTTTTTCTGTTTGTTTTAAGATTTTGTGTGAGCATGTGAAAGTTAAGAAATGTTTTGAAAATATACTGATTTGTTTTTTATATTATGTGAGAATAATGGTTACATATGCATGCTTATGATTTAACCTGAAATTGTTAATATTTGTTCCTTTAGAGAGTGAGTGAGTGAGGAAGGAAGGGAGGGAATGACTGAGTGAGTGAGTGTGAGTGAGTTGAGTGAGGAGTGGTGAGAGTGAGTGAGTGTGTGTGAGTGAGTGAGTGTGTGTGAGTGAGTGAGTCAGTGAGAGTGAGTGTGAGTGAGTAAGTATGAGTGTGTGTAAGTGAGTGAAGAAATGAGAATGAGAATGAGTGAGAATGAGAATGAGTGAGAATGAGAATGAGTGAGAATGAGTGAGAATGAGAATGAGAGAGAATGAGAATGAGTGAGAATGAGAATGAGAATGAGTTGAGAGAGTTGAGAGTTGAGAGTTGAGAGTTGAGAGTGTGAGTGGAGTGAGTGTGAGTGAGTGAGTGAGTGAGTGTGAGTGTGAGTGTGAGTGTGAGTGTGAGTGTGTGTGTGTGTGTGTGTGTTTGTGTGTGTGTGTGTGTGTGTGTGTGTGTGTGTGTGTGTGTGTGTGTGTGGTGTGTGTGTGTGTGTGTGTGTGTGTGTGTGTGTGTGTGTGGTGTGTGCTCAACAGCTCCATAGTTTAAGATGTCATAGTTCTGATCTAGTGTTCAATAGTTGGAGTCTGTCTGGTGCTGTGAGTGGTAAGGACCCCATCTATTCCAAGCACACTGGGGGAAATGGCAACCTATAAAATCTGTATGCCATATTATGTCTGCTCACTATGTTATTAATCCAATGCCTCTAGGTGAATTTTCAATGCACTTAGCCTCCACTCCTTGAAGTATTTAGGCCGACTGGGCTTGCCTCGGGGGCCTACTTCAGATGTAGTTGGTATATTGTACTCAGTGGGCCACACTAACAAAGTGATATGATTTCTTTTTATATCACTTGTATCTAAAACATGATTTTAATATTTTTGCATATTCAGAGATGCATGATATTCATTTAGGTTACTTATGTTATAATGAGATTAAATTAAATAGTGCTAGAATTAAGAAAACAAAACTACAGTGGGGAGTTAAGGAACCCAGGTCCAGTGAGTTACAGGAGTATGATCTAAAAATTCTGAGGTTACCCTTGATACTTAAAGTTGTATTAATGATTACTATAGTAAACATTCATAATGTGAATTGCCAATGAGGAAACATAACTATTTAAATTATTTTACACTCATATATTGTATTGTAAGTCATACGAGTTATTGAACATTTTACATAATTAAAAAGTTCCTCTGCCTCAGTGTCCTACCCCCAGGTATTATTAGTTAACCCGTAGCCGACAGGTGGGATGTACGCACATGCCATGGCTGGTGTGGACCGCAAAACAGATGGCATTGTATCATGCCCATTCCAGTGCCACTAACTCATCAGACAAAGTTTGTTTTTCTCCGATAGTAGTGGCTTCATTTATATGGTAAAGATTTTAGGCAAAGATCTATAATGAAGGCAAACCTTCAAAATTATAATATTTTTATAAATTATAGCAAAATAAAAGCTTTTAGGTGCCAAATGTTGTTCGCAAACTACTCTTCGAGCTGGGTGCAAATGGGAAACTGTTGATGCACGCCAACAATCCCATTATTACGTCCACTTGCCAAACATTTTTACCCATCGTCACTGTGTTAATGAGAAAAATGTGTGGATTTATACTTTTTTTTCTCCTTTTCAGTTAACAGGGAAACACACACCCTCTTGAGGATCAACCGTGTTGAAATCATGCAGAAGATTGATGAGGTACCAGAAGTGGAAGGTGTTGATGGAAGAATATTTTAGTATTTCTCCCCAAAAAGTTTGATGCTAATGTAAATAAATTTCATAGATACTTACACCTTTTCTTTCATTCAAGTTTTATCCTTTTTACTTTAAAATATAGTACATAGAAATTTTCAAATAAACATTTATCATTTCAAACACAATATAGTAAAAGGTATTTTTCATGCCATCAGTGACTAATATATTGCTTTGTTATCAGACTAAAAAGTATTTCCATCAGTTGCTTAAAAGTTGATTAATCTTTTCTTTCAGTAAAGGCAAATTATTTTGATGTTAGTTGTATTTAATGAATAGGTTAAGTAGCTTAATTTTTCACAAGACAAAACTCTTAGACCTTTTAAATCTCAATATAAATTGGACAATGTTTATAGGCAAAATTTCAAGTCATGAGGCAGTCAGATCAATGTTTTTCCTTAGATCAGGTATATGGTAAAAATATTAAAATAATAATGAACAAAGGAACATGGAGAAAATACCCATCTACAAGGGAAATTTTACAAGATTATACAGGCTAGATGGAGATCACAAAATACTTATCTTGTATTAGGCTTGTTTATAAAAGACAGGTAAAGCATGTATAATAATTTCTGGTTTGCAAGAGTTGGACCCCCCCACATGAAGCCTCTTGTTAGTGCTCAGTTACTGCTGTATTTTTCAAGGAGCCACTAAGGGGTGAAGAGAAATTTAATGGATGCCCCATGCACAAACCACTTTTTCATGGTACCTACAGTTGTTGTCTTGCTATCATCTGTCTCAAGAATGCAAAAGAAAAGTCCATTGAGTCATTGCTGTAACAGACTGAGTACCCAGAACAAGTCTTGGGGGCCCCTAATCTTAATATCGGTAAAGCATATTCTGTATAATGATTATATTAGCTTTATAAATAACCTATTAGTTAAGGACAGAGTAATAATATTTACGGTTTGTTTATATTGAAACGTTACACAAGAAGCCCTAAAGTCATATTTTCTTTTTCTAAGTATCATTGGTTTTCTCTTGTAAAGACTTGTAATTCATGATTAAAACATTATCTTGTAAACATTTTGTTTCCGAGGAGCCTCATCTTTCTCACATTTCAACCTTTCTGGGAAATAATGCAAGGCAAAGACAATTTTGCCATGCTTTGGTGTGCATGGCATTGAAAAATAACTAGAATAAGGTGTATGGTGACCCATGCACTTCTTCAATTCCCAGTGTGTTGTTTGGTGGTGGTGCCAAAATGTGGTGCTCATTTCAGTTGTTGTATTCTATTTGTTTTTATTTCGTAATCTCACTCCAGAATTCTACCACATCCCGTTACACTAACACACTCCACCACTCCACTCTCCTTCACTCTGCAACTTCCACACTCCACTAAACTACTAAACTACTAAACTCCAACTCTCTACCACACTCAACCACTCTACTGCTGCCACAGTCCACTACTCTCCCTGACACTGCCACACTTTACTACTCCCTTACTTCACCACTCCTATAGTCCACTACTCTCCCTCACTTGACCACACTCTACTATACTTCTACATTACACAACTCAAAACAAGGTAACTGTTACCCAAGAGCATCTACCATTCAGAGGGGGGGGCACAGACAGAGAAAGTAAGAAACAGCATGCGAGCAAATGGCGACTGAGCAAAGGAAAAATTACCATGAAAGCGAAGAATGAGAAAATTACCAGTTTTGAATTTGTTTTACTTCCATAAATTAGGGAATTTTGGAAAAAAATAATAAAAATAAATAAATAAATAAAAATTAAAATGCTTTATGGAGCACGTACAAACTTTAGTAGTTTATGGAGCCTATGTAGATGGTCAACAAACAATTCTGCTGAAATCTGAAGTACAAGCCAAGTTGCCAATTAGTTTTCAAGAGAAGATGCCTGAGAATGGTGTCATAACAAAACCTCTCATCTAACAGGGCAAAATTTTTTGAGACCAAAACTTGTGCATCCTAACTAGATATTCTAGACCTACAAATCTAAACCAAAATGCACAATGAAAAATGTTCCAAAGTAACAATTTTTTTGTTGCATCACAAGTGAAAAATTGGGTAAATGGACACAGAGCACCCTTTAATGGCAGCTTAATTCACCTAACCATATGAAACTACCAGCTATATGAGAAATACTCTTATGCCCTTTTCAATTAAAATTTCAGTTTGCTAGCAAGAAATTCACTGCTCAAAAACATCTGCCCTGGAAGTCTGAAAAAAGTCTTTTGTAATTACTTATTATGAAACACTGGTTCTGAAGTGTTAATAAATCAAGATTATTACACTTTAATCCATGCTAATCACTTAAATTTTTCCTCTCCTTGAATACCCAACACACGATGCTGATAACGCATATTTCCTGAATTAGCACTTTAAAGGAAGAGTCATCAGTATCAAAGGCATCACTTTCACAGTACTAAATGGAACAAGCAAAGTATCAATTGTCTTCAAATATCCAAATAATTCTGGCTATAGTTTAAAGTTTGAAAACAAAGCTTATTCATATCAGCCCAAATTTTAGCTTTGTTTCTTAACAGTCAGGTGAAATTAAATATAAATCTTCTTTCATAAATTTATTTAGAAGAAGAATCCCAGGATCTTTCCTCCAAGATGCTTCCTCTTGGCTTCTTCGTGATCCATAACTCCACCAGAAGTTGTCAAGACAATGTAGCTGTAATGAAAAAAATAAAATAAAACTATTAAAGAAAACCTGTAATTATTGTATACAAATCTAATAGTTACTGGATACAAATCTATTAATATTTATGTGCACTCATAATTAAGAGAACTATAATATAAATATTCACTTTATTCTGACCTGATTTGATTTTCAACACAGATGGCCCCACACAAGTGCTTGGTAACTACAGAGTAAATTATTGCTTTCAATGATTTTACCAATCCCTTTCTCCCCCCCCGCCACAAAAAAAGAAAAGTATATCTTCATTACTAAGAATTGTTAAAAATATTACAATAATAAAGCCAATACTAACATTTTCAATTATAATAGTACTACAAGGAACTTTTTCCTAAATATTCAAACCCATCGAGAGCAGTTTTTAGTCTACTACAATTTTGCAAATTTTGTTGCACAGATGGCTCTACACGTGCTCAGCCACACAGGTATCAATCAGGCCAAACACAATTTTCCCCATTCTTTGGATTTGCAGATCCCCCCCCACCTTCCTGACAATTAACAGGTGTATAAAAATAAATACATAAATGTAGAAGAAAACAGCAATAGACAGGTTGCTAAACAGTATCTATGACTTGGAAGCCATACAGTGAAGTTTTCCCTATACATAATTTAAATTTCAATTGCTCACTCACACTTATGAATGCTATAGGACTGTAGTTATTACAATGTATCTTAGAGAGTACTACAATGTTCTTTGGCAGAAAACTAAGTTAACAATTTTCTAGCTAAAATAATGTATATTACTCATATCAAGTACTTCAACGTTACGTTGATTATAAATGTTAACCATTATACAATTGCAAAAGAGGTTGAAATCAGTAAACTACAGAAAATAACTCACCCAAACTGACGAGATGGAAGCAAATTGTTAGTCCACTTCTCAATGGAATTGATGGTTACATCAAAACGTGGAGAGATGACACCACACTTAATGAGACGACCAGTGAGGTTTACTACAATCTTGCCAGCCCTATGGTCATCAACAATCTCAAATTCTCCAATGTAACCTGTTAAAATAGGAAATAATTTACAATTTCATCAACAGAAAGGCCCAAATCCCAATGGTCTACATAGATTTTAAAATCTATTATAAAAAACAAGCATATACGGGTTTCAATTGATTTAAAACTCATTAAAGTAGAAGCTATCAGTATGAACCTTCATATTCCTTCTCTATTAAAAAAATATATACACTTCTAACAGCAAGGTGCTAGAGTAAAAGATGAAATTACACATACAGAGCATTAAAATAATCTACAACTGTTTACACCCTAAAAATTGTTACATTAGTCTTAAACTTTAGGGAATTACCTCAAGACCATTTAAAAATAGTAATAAAATCACACAATTAAAATTCAAAATAGGTTGAGAAGCTAGCTATAAGAATCCCTTTGCAACTTAACCCATAAACTGTTAATGAAATGTGGTAATAACCTAGAAAAGACTGCAAGGGGAAAGAAAGAGAAAAGTAATTATCATGAGAATTTCAAAATATTAAGGTTTTCACACAAAATGTGCAGAATGTCTAGACCTCCTCTTTACCTCTGGTAACTAATGTATAGAGAGCCAGTCCAAGTTGCATCTTACCAGAAGGCAGATGTGTGTTGGCCTTCGCCAGTGTTCAGACACTATTTGGATAGTCTACTCATAACCAAACTGAAGGGAAATTGCAATAGTATCATATTTCAACACCTAGACAACCTGAACACCATATGCCAAACTCACCATGCCTCATCATCACCGTCAGAAATTTGACTACGACCTTTGAGCAGGGTCTGATGAGAACCTGTCTCTTTCCTCGCTTCTCAGCATTGTTTATGCTTCTGAGAGCATCTGCAAGGGCATTCACTCGCACCATTTTGACGCGTGTTTATGTCTGAAAAGAGGACAGAAAAAAAGGTTAGTGGGACTTTACTCTTGCAATCAAGCAAAAACAATCTGCTGAAACCACTTAATAATAATAATTAAATGTTCCTGATATAGCAGATTTATGATATTCAGTACGAGAATCATTATTTTCATGGTACCAGAAGTACATTATCATTTTATTACAATCTAACAATTTTCAAGTTGATATGTCACATGTGCAGTAAGCTGGAACAAATTTAGAAAGCAAATTTAAAACATTGGTTTAGAAAATTAATTTTGCTCTTAATTTTGGACTGAAGACACTATGGGCACATAACTAAGATAAAATATCTAGGCTCCTTTGCAATATACAGTGGCTTAATTTGGATCTTTGCCATAGCACTGCCCAGTACAATGGCTACATTGATACCTGTTTATTACTGGTATATAGGTAGGTTAATCTAACCTAATTCCAAGTCACAAATTTACTCAATAAGTTGCTATTACTGGGCATGCCCCTCAGGCACTGCCTAAGGGGAGGGTGATAGCAGTTCTGTCCGACAACAAACATTATCTCCACCATGGTATGAACAGTAAAATAATTCTGAATCTTGGAGATGTGAGCAGTGTGTTCAGCATTTTTTTCTTTTCTTTGTGGTGTTACCATTTGTCTGCAGAATATTTCTTGTACCAATAATGACAACTTTTAGTCCTCTACAAGAATACCACCTTCAATTTACACATTTCCCTCTTGACCACGTTTGTGGTCAAGAGTGGTTCATTCAACTATGTAAATACTGATACACCCTCTCAGAAAAAACATAGGAAGAAAACCTGCATATGGAACAGGATTTGGAATAGTTTCAGATTAACAGTCATAAGGTACATGGTACATAGAGTATAATGGACAGAACATTAATGATAATGCCAAAAATGATGGTAAAATATTGCAGAAAGCATTGCTCTTAGCCAAAGTCCACCCAGTACTCCAAAGTTTTAGCTCTTAAGATGCATAATGCATAAGAGGTGAATACAATGTTTCCCAGGGTGTTGGGGGGCATAGCCAACCCATCAACTCTTCCCTCGGGCAGTGCAGATGCCGAATCACGGCTACTTAGATTGATGAATATAAATTTGTGACAGAGTTGGGGACTTTCTCTGGTGAATGTGTCCGTACTGTAAAGAATGATCAAGTTGTGGAATATACAAGTATTGCTTTGGTTTACATGTTCTTAATGACCACACAAAGGAAAAACATGAGTAGTGTCTGGGGAAAATTTTAAATCAATCTGAGCATGCAATAAAAATAATATCAAATGTAGTAAAAACTTTACAACATATGCCATGTAGAGATTGATGAGCCTACAGCTATTTGATGAGAGTCTGGGAGTAAAGGCCCCACAGTTTAGGAGGGCTTTGGTTCACAAGGCAATGTTTGTGGGTTCCTAGGAGTGCTACTGAATGAAGTAATAGGGTTTTAGTCTCAAGAGTGTCGAAGACTCAATACTTCCACTCATTTCCAGAACCAATAATTTGCGATGGGACACAGATTCACACATTACACAATGAGCAACACTCAAAATATAATATGAAAAGCCCTGAATGGTGTTTTGCGTATGTGCGGTGAAAAAGGTGGTGGTGGTATCGACACAAGGAGATACCACTCAATCAGGTTAGGTTAGTGCTTATCACCCAGAAATAACATGTGTATGCTTATATTCATGTGTGCCGTACACCTAGCCATGAGAAGTTGGATATGGCTACCAGATGCGTAAAACTGGCCATATGATAAATGCAAGGGTGGATGGCTGTTCAAGACAAAATTTACCAAGATTCTCTTAAGAAAATACTAATTGGGAACAATCACCAGTTGTAACTTCAAAACTATGATCAATGCAGTTTCACAATACGAACTTCCCAATTTATTCTATAAACAGATCTTATAGTGAAATATCAATTCTCAGTTCTTCCCATCACAACTAAAACCCTTACATCCCCACAAAGTGCGTACAAAATCCCCCATCAATACTTATTCCTCCTCTAAATCCTTATAAGCAACCCCTCGCTCCCTTAATAAATGAGAATAAAATCATTATCTTTAAAACAAGCAATTGTAACTCAAAAGCATACAGTAACATGCAGGTTCGTAAACCGTAGGCTGGGTACAAGTTTATACACGGCTTTGGGGTCTATAATACATTCCCTTCATTTTACAGTTACAATGCTAATGTTAGAATCAACCTACACCCAACTTTTACTTTAATGTTTTACATTAAATTATATATTTGTGTCTGTTACTCGTAACACAGTGAACCAAATGCGTCCCGACAACCCAACATACAGCGGAAAATTGTATTTACTCTCCCTATTCACTTCCTTTTCCGTCTTTAAAAGCAACACAGAATCAGTTTCCATTCTAGGACAAAGATATCAGACAGCGACCTTACGCCAGAAGATAAATTCCACAAAGACCGAGAAAAGCCTAAGCGGACGCACTTGTAAACACGAGAGACACGATGTCGGCCAGAGAGCGCTCACGTGTTGTAAACATCACTCATTTTACAACAAAAGTCACATTCCCTGTGAGTATTATCGTCTCGGAATGTGGCCGCGTACTTCAACCTATATTTTCGCCGTTATTTAAGTTATAATTTCAATGATAAACCCGTAAACCGTTGAATCACATGGAA